GGAGGTCCCCACGCTCTCAGAGCTCAGCGTTCCCGCCTGAGGCCCAGAGCGGCGGGCCGGCGTCACCAGGCCCGTAAGCTCAGGTTCTGCTCCAAGCAGGCCCGGAGAGACGGGCTCTGGCTGGACCCAGACTGCAGATCGGCTCCCACTGGAGCCCCAATTAGAAAAATTAGCACAGCTGAGCCGCCCCCTCCCTAAGCCCCAGCCGACCTCTGACCTCTCCGTGACTCCCTGGGCTGTGGAGGCCCAAGACCCGGTCAAAGGGGAAACGACGCTCCCCTGAGGACTGCTGCGAGCGCCCTGATGCGCGACACGCTGCAGGGCACAGCCAGCACCAGAGAAGTGGCCGGAAAGCAAAGAGCCCAGGGCTGGGCGGGCAGCGAGCCTGGGGGCGGGGGCGGGGCGGCGGCTCTCGCAGGGACACGGGGCTGAGGCAGGCGATGCGGCCTGACGGACGGCCCCCGGGGCCTCGCCAGCTCGCGCCTCCGGGTGGCCCCCGGGTGGTCAGCGTCCCCACATCGTCACCAGAGACCGGGCGGCCTCGCCTGCTGTGCAGACAGGACGCTGAGGGGTGCGCCTGCTGCCCGGCCCCACTCGGCCCCCGCCCCTTCCCCCAGGTCTGCAGAAAGGTGTCTGCACTCGGGGTCCGCCTGGAGCCTTGCCCCAGGGGTTCTCTAACCACCTGAGTCCTCAGGGGCGGCAGAGCGGCTGGAGGTCCTGTCTGCAGGGGCCGGGGCTGGCCAAGGGACATCGCAGCGAGGAAGCGCCCAGGGGGACGCAGGCCCCTGTCCCGAGGCCTGACCCTGCCTCCGCTGCCCCCTAGTGTTCACCCCTCACCACCTCGCCCAGAAAGTAAAGGGGGGAAACGGCTGAAAACTTAAAAGTCACCAGAGGTGGTGGCAGCTGCCAGAGGCTCGCGACCCCCCTCCCGCCAGCCCGGGGCCAGGACCGAGAGTGTGAGAACAAGGGGCCGCGTCGCGGGGACGCCACGCCAGCGCCCGAGGGCGGGTTTGCCCGAGACTCCGGGGGGCCACTGAGCGCCAGCCGCAGTCCAGCGGAAGCAGCATGGCCTCGGCGCCCGGTCGGATGCCACACACCCCGCGCGGGGAGGAAGGGCCACCGCAGAGCCGGTGACCCCAGAAGGCCAGGACCTGGCCTCAAGCTCTGCCGCAGCGGCCGGCCAGGCCCGAGCACTGAGCGCTGGACACAGCCAGAGGTGCGGGAGGATGCAGCAAGCAGGGCGCTGCGCCGTCCCCCACTCTCGCCGCTGTGCGCGGGGCAGGGGCTGGCTGTGACGGACAGGACGGCCCGCGCCTGGGCTGGGCGTGGGGCCCGGAGCGAGGGGTCAGCAGACCGGCCCCCGCCCGCAGCCCCGCCCAGCCCTCACCCTTCTGCACGTGGCACTGCCCACGTGCCCTGGTGGCTCGCGGGTGCCCTGCCACGTGGACCGGCTGGCCCAGCCGCCCCAGCCACACCGGCCAAGGCCCCTTCCGTGCCAGCTCAAGCCGGGGTCCGTGTGGACACGTCTGGGGAGCCCCGCGCAGCGCCCTCAGCAAGGTGAAGCGGCCGGCCGGGAGGCAGGGAGGCAGGCGCCGCGTGGAGAGGGCGGTGGGGAGGGCAAGCGGCGCGAAGGAGCCCCGGCTCCACGGAACAGAGGCCAGAGGCGCGGCCCGGCGGGCGCGGCCCACGCTCCTTCCGGGAGACGCGCCTCGCCCGCAGCCCCGCGCCCGTGCTCTGGGGACACCCGCCGGCTCCCCCCGGCCCAGCTCAGCCAGAGCCGCCCTCCGCCTGCCCCCGGCCTGCCAAGCGCCGACCACGAAGCGAGGGAAGGAGCCAGCCCTCGGCGGCGCCACAGCATGGCGGGGCCGGGGGGACTCCCAGCTGGGCCGGGAGGACGGCGGGGACCCACCTGTGACGTTTTTCGTGGTCTTGGAGCCTGCCTTGGGCGGCGGGGTGGGCAGCAGAGGGGGGCTGGGGAGCTGGCCCGCAGGCCTCTCCGGGGGCCGGGGGGGACTGTGCGTGGAGTCGGCCCCAGCCGGGGCTGCAGAGGGCTCATCCGCCACAGACGGGGGCGCGCCGGCGTCCGCTTCATCCCCTCTGGGTGCCGGCGGCATCTTGGCTGGTTCAAGGGCAAAACAGAGAGTTCACAGTGTGGCTCCTGGGCCTGGGGGACGTGAGGGAGGGGAGCAGGGCGCCTCGCCCGCAGGGGGCAGCTGACAGACAGGGGCGCCGCACGAACAGCCTTGACTCCCTATGAGCCCAACTACGCACAGACCCACCCGGGGAAGACGGGGGGCGGGGGGCAGGGCTGGAGCTGGCCCCCGGGCGCGGGGGCACATCCAGGGCTCTCTCCTTCCCCTGGCTCAAGCCGGCCCCGCACCTGACCCCGCTAGTCACTGCGCGCCTGTTCCTCCACCTAGCTGGCCCTTGAGCAGCGAGGGTTCTGCACCCCCAAAGCCTGTGCAGATGGGAGTCTGAGTACAATGTCCTCTTGCCCCCAGAACTGCACTCCTGGCTGCTGCTGCCAGAACCCTGCTGCCGAGGGGTCAGCGCACACCTACTCTGTGCTACTTACATGTGGGGGGTAACGCAAGCTCGAGGAGTCAAAATCACGAGCAAATGCATCTAGGGGCCTGTACCACACTTCTTAGTTCACGTTGTCTGTTTACAAGAGACCCGGTGTGGACACACCCGGCTCAGGCCGCAGCAGCCGAGTCCCAGCGAGCCCCTCGCCGTCGGTGTCGAGGTCCACACAGGCGGCAGTGACGACGGTCGCCACGTGGCGGAGTCTCAGCTTCGGCAGCTGATTGCGCGTGTTCAGCTTTCAGCGACGCTGCCCCCGAGCCCGCTGAGGGGGCGGGGAGCAGGAGGCCCCGCCGCTCCTGGCCCCTGCGCACTGGCCACCCTCCGCTTCTCCCGACCCGCGCCGCTCACTCCGTTCCGTCCACGTGTCCCCACCCATCGCTCAGCCGCCCTCTCGCCGTGTCCCCGACCTGGTCACTCCCTTCCCGTTAACTTCGGGGGGCCCATCCAGGGGACGCCTCCGCCAGCTCCCAGCCCAGCCAGAGCCGCGGGCCACGCAGGAGGCGCCAACCCTGCCGTGGCTTCCAGCCGCCACCCTCCGGCCCTCGCCCCGACTCCGCCCTGCAGGCGCCCGGAATCTCTGCTGTCCTCTCCCTGCTTCTGGCTTCACGCCCCCCCACCTCTCCTCAGATTCCCGACTCAAACACAAGCCTGAGCCCCAACACTCCCTTTCTCCCCTCCCCCTCATACATCTCAGGGGGCCTCCTAAGGGGTGTCCGCCCCAGCCCTCCCTGCCGTCTCAGCAGAGCCCGGGACCAGCTCTGTGCACAGCCTGCTGCTGTCTCCACACCCACCGGCAAGTCTCCCTCTCCCCGGGCCTCGGGCCCATGGGCCCCTCAGCCGCTGGCCCCGTGAGAGTCCTCAGCCACCAGGCAGTGTCTCTGACGCCCAGGTGGTGCTGTCTGTGGTGCTGAAACCGCCGCTGTCCCTGGTGCTGAAGCTCCAAGCCACCCAAAGCGGGCGGGTTTGTCCTTTGAGAACTTCCCAGGAGGCTCCAGGTGTGAATGCTGCCGGCCCCACACATCCCCGGTCACTACCGTTCCTGTTCTGCTCACATCCTAATCTGCAGCCTCTCAAGCCAGGCCCTTTCTCCTGAGCAGCTCATGGGCACGCAGTCTCTGCAGCATGAGCCTCCCCCGTCGTTACGGAAAGCAGACTCAGCTGCGTCAGGAACTGGTCCGAGCTGCGGGCCAGAAAGATCGTGTGTCCCTTCCACTTCGTCCTGCAAGGGCACCCGCGGGGTAGAGCTGTCTCTGTGCTGTCAGTGTCCACACTGCCCCAGCGTGCCCCTGGTAAGCAGCTTTCCGATTCCTAGACTTCAACACAAGTGTGCCCATGATCTGTAACCTGTAACTTTTCAGAGTAAAACAAGCACAAACAAGCATTGTGGCTCTTAAGTAGAACCAGCTGTGGGGTTTCCCACGCAGTCACAGGGAGAGCAGAAATGTCCTTTCTCGGGGCATTTGGAAGCACCAGGCTGCGGCCCCCTGGGGGTCAGCAGAGTGGCTGACACCTGCTGGGTGGTAGACAGGGTGCTGGAACTTCTCACACCTGAGGCAGAGTAGAACACAAGCTTACCCCTATGAGGGGCTGAGCAGAACAGGAGGCGGCTGGAGGTGCGAGACCAGTACCCTTGAGGCGGGGCGGCCACACCTGTCAGCTCTCTCTCCCCAGAACATCACTTTGGAAACTCACTGGGCTCCCAGAGACGGACAGAGCCTGGGGAGCTCTGCAAGCTCGCGCCAGCCTCCCACCTGGTGCCCAGGGTCAAGCTCGGCCAGGCCCCAGGCGGGTCTGCCTCGCTCCCTCCTGCTGTGCTGGCCCGCCTTCTTGGCCTCGCACAGGTTCCACCTGGCGGCCCAGGACCCGGCCGCCCCCTCTCTCCGGCCTCTGGCTCAGTGTCACTCCCTCTGCTGACCCTTGACCTACCCTCGGAGCTCTGGTCTCGGCTATTACCGGTCACTTTGACACCTGCCTTGGAGGTCGAGAGGCAAAATGAAACCCCCAAGCCCACCTCTGGTTTCCTGGGAGTCTCCCCCTTCTTTCCATTCCACCTCCGACATCCCTGAGCAATGAAGGGCCCAGAGCCTCTCCTAGGGGCTCTGGCGTCACACGGCCCCGTCCTCGCCAGCTTTGCCAGCCCCCGCAGCTGTCCAGCCAGACTGGCCGCAACACTCTACCGCTCCCCCGTCCTCTCCCCGGGACCCCACCCCGATGCCCAGTAATGGGTAAGTCCTGAGAGCTGTGTTTCCTCAGCGCGTCTCGAAACAAGCTTCCCTGATGGCCAGCGCCACACCTCTGTGGGGCCTCGGCACAGCCCGGGCCTCTCTGCTCCCCCAGCCTTTCCACAGACCTCGTCAGCAACTGTTTTCTGCACTGGGCTTTGGCTTTGCAGGCCACAGGATCTATGTGGTACAGAAATCCCGGGAGGCTGACCAAGCTCCCAGCTCGCCCGCCTGCAGCACCCTTCACTTTGAGAGGGCCGGGCAGCCTCCTCACCACAGCCGCCACTCCCATGGCCAGTGAGCCTCGGACAAGAGGCTGGACCGCTGGGTGCTAAGGTTTACATCTTAGGCTGCTCTGACCTGAGTAGCCGTGTGGGGACAGTAGGGTCACAGCCCACACCCCTCACCTGAGGTCGCTAGCAACTAAGAGCCCCACGGAGGCCCTCTGCCTCCTGGGCCAGGTTAGAATGTGGGCGCCCCACCCTGTCTCCCAGGGCCTTGGGGCCCAACACACCCTCTGCTCTCACCCCAAACTGAGCCCAGAGCTCCGCATGCTCAGCAGGGCCACGTCCCTGACTGGCCAGCGGCTGGTCCCCTCTCAGTCCCCCAAGTGGTCCGCTACCACATTTCAGAACCTCAGACCTCAGATCTTAACATCTCAAGTGCTGCTCAGATTTTTTTCTTAAAACGGTAGCGGACTGGTCAGCTGCACACTCTCGGCCGGACAGCAGAGGGCGCTGCTCGCCAGCCGGCCCCGCCAGGCCCCGCCAGGCTCCAGGCTCAGCCAGCCCCAGGCCCAGGAGACATGGGCACTGTTCGCCTACCCGGGAGACGCAGTGTCCCGGGTGGAGAGGCAAGAAGCAGCCCTGGGGACAGCGAGCATCGGCTTTCTCCAGCCCAGGGAGCCCGAAGACCTGTCCCCAGGCACCTGCGGCGGGTCTCAGACCCCTCTTTGTGGGGTGAGCTAAGGCGCCCCCGCAGGCTCGGGTTCCTCGGAGGGTTGTTTGCCTGCTGGGCTGTCCCAGGAAGCGTCTCTGGGCCCCCCGAGGGCACTGGGGTCTCCTTCCCGGCAGCTCGGCCAGCCCTGGACCCGGCCCAGGCCGCGCAGGCAGAGGGGGCCTGTGTCTCCCGGCTGACGCCCGCCACCCCCCGCAGCAGCTAGCCCGCGGGTCCCTGTCCGCACCTGCGTCGTCCACGTGGGTGTCCGAGGACAGCGGCTCGTCCAGGGGCGCCTGCTCTGTCCC